TTGCGATCTGCAAGGAGAAGAGCGTGAATTTGGCGAGGATGATGTTGATAACCAGAGGAATGAAGCAGATGTTGTTAGCTGTGGTGGATATGTACATCCGCTCACTTTATTGCCGTATGATAATTCAGCAACAATGTTGGGGACGGCTCAATTGACTCATAATAACTATGTTTCATGGAGTTATGTTGTACGGCAAGCTCTTGGGATGAAGAATAAGTTAGGTTTTTATCACCACAACGGTTCCTTAACAAAACCCTAGATCACCAGACACGATCAATGGAATCGGGTCAACAATATTGTAGTTTATTGGATACTGAATTCTTTGTCACCTGGAATCGTGGACAACTATAATTTGGCAAGCAACGCTAAGGAGTTTTGGGAGGAGTTGAAAGAAGGATATGGTACCGGAAACGGTCCTCAAATTTACAATCTCTAACGAGAGATTTGTACAATCAGACAAGGTAAAATGTCTTTAGCTACTTAGTATGTTAAACTAAACAGGTTGTGGGATGAATTAGCGATAGTAGATCTGCCCCTGCGGGGGAATTGGATCAAATCGATGCAGCTTTTAACTGGACTAAATGGGATGTATAAGGATGTAATGAACCATGTCTTGATGCTTGAACCATTGCCAGAAGTTAAAAGGCTTATGCAATGGTACTAAATGTTGAAAAGCAGTAGACTGCGAGTATGAAATATAAAGAAAGTTTTGATAACAGTGCCATGATTGCACATAAGGGGAATCAGTTTCATTGTGGTGGTAGTTGTATTGTTGGTTATGGTGGAACTGAAGGAACGAGTTATCAAAGCAATTCGTCTCACTCAAGAAGCTTAATAACACAGGATGATTTGGGACATTCAGTCATACTAGCTTTCCAGTAAAGATGAGCTATACATGAGGTTCAAGCAGAGGTAATGGATTCAGACTTGATAAGGCTATAAAAAAGTTACTTAAATGTGATTATTCCAAAGGAAATGGTCATACAAAAGATACTTGTTTCAAGTTGCATGGATATCTAGTGTGGTGGCCTGGAAATAAGTCATCACACGCTTTTTATTCACAGAGGAAACCATCATCAACACATTTGGCGAAAACACCATTTGATCAAGAGAGTGGGGATCAAGCTGGAAATCTGCAAACTATCCCGAACAATTTACAGACTCTGCAACTAGAAGCAAGCAAGATAGTAGAGGGGAAGATGCCTACATCATCAATAGAACAGATCAGTTTTGCACGTTTTACTGATTTTGTAGGTATGAGTACTTTCAGTAAACTTAATACCCTGGATCAGTTAGCCTTATTTTTTATAGATATTAGACAGTGGTGCTACCAGTCATATGAGTTCTGAATTGAATTTGTTTGCATCCTATCACAAAGTTGATATTTTACCACCTGTTTATTTGCCTGATGGAAGCATTCGGACAAAAGAACACATAGGACATGTGCCACTTTCCTCAAACTTTACTCTTATAGATGCGCCTTACATATCCCAACCTTTAACTACAACCTGATTTCAGTAAATAAACTTGTTGTTGCTTCCAAAATAGATTGTTTTTTCTCCTCAACCTTCTGTGTATTGCAGGACCAACAGACTAGACAGATAGTGGCTGATGGAAAGGTTATCAACAAACTCTACATTCTGGATCAGAAGTCGTTCACCACAAAGACCACTCATCAGTTTACTTCGACTCATGTGAACCATCCACTTCTGTTACAACCAACATCAAATGTAGTTCATCAGTTTTGTATAGTTACCAAAGATAATAGTGACATTTGGCATCAGAGGCTTGGTCATCCTTTAGATGAAATTTTACAAAAATTACATGTATCCTTTGATTGTAAAGCACAAAATACTTTGTGTGAAATTTGTCCACTTTCAAAGCAACATAGATTGAGTTTTCCTCTAAGTTGTATACAAAGTTCTAATGCATTTGATCTTATACATGTTGATATCTGGGGCCTTCTCAGCACATCTCACTCAATGGTACACATTATTTTCGTACAATAGTAGATGATTTTAGTATTACCACCTGGACCTTTGTCATGTAAAACAAATTTCAAAACTTACCTACATGACCCTTGTTCAAACTCAGTTGCAATTTCCATTAAACAAGTTAGAACGGATAATGGAACTGAGTTCCTTAGTCTTGAATGTCAGTCATTCTCTAAAGATACTGGCATTGTTCATCAGAAGTCCTATATCCACACTCCACAACAGGGAAGTGACATTTAAAGTTGTTATAGATTCTATCAACCACCTACGATGACCATGTTTATAGTTTTTTTAGCTCTATCATGCCTGGGGTTTTCTTCTAAAAAATTAATTTGTGCATCTTTCCCACAGTTTGTGAAATTGATTCTCCTTAAAAGTAAAATAGTAGAAAAATTGACCACCCACTACGGGTTCTAATTTAGTGTGCGACAACAAGTAAGCAACTATTTCCTCATTTTATTTTATAGTCTGCTCTTGAACGGATTTAGTACAATAAACTATTAAGACAGATGCGAAGGAGTACGTACTAGTTAGGAGGATAGAATTAATTTATTTTTCATTAGAAAATTCCATTAAATTAACTGGACTTTGGAGTTAATACATAGACAAATTGACTAACTTCCAACTGATGGATCCGTCTATTTACGAGTTCTTGTTATTCAAATCAACAAAGGATATTATTCTTCCAAACGAAGCTGAGATTTCATGAAGCACCACTGCCGCATTGTATGAATTCAACAAAGTACTAGAAGGACAATGTGCAAAGGTATATGTAATGGTCATTAATATTAATGATTGACAATCAAAGAGGGAGAAAAACCAAAGAAACCACAGAAGTTACAACCTTACAATGATATAGTTTGGACACATCATGTTATATTACTTCAAACTCGATCAATAGTGCTGCTTAATCGCAAACGGTAACTATTAAATAAATTTATGATAACTGAATTTTCTAGCGTAAATTTTTTGAACACTTGCAACGGAATCACGAAAAGAGGACTACAATTTGAGGAAACTACGCAATCAGTTAATGATCATGGGTGTTGATACGTTATTTAGTCATATTCTTGATGATCAATACCAACCGATTTTTTGTATTTCTCTATTATACATGGAAAAGTAGTTGTTGATGAAAACGAAGAAATACAGATCTCATCGACTATGACACACTAGCTGTTTTAGTCAATGATTATCTTATGATCATCAATATTATATTAAAAAAATCAATCAACAACAGACAAAAACTGAGAACAGAATGAGGAATGTTTAACCACTTAAAAAAATGAAAAGAAAACGCCAGAAATCTAACATGAAAGTGTAATCTCTAGAGAGACACGTTTTGCAAATGGTAGTAAAGTGTTCATTCTCATAAACATGACTAATAATCAGACTGTTGAATTGTAAACGCGTCAACAGAGATATGTTTGATGGGTTGTCAAGGCAACAAATAAAATAACCTACTTCTAACTACGTAGTATAAAGAAGTAAGGTCGTCTTCTCATGGAACGATGGATTGTTTCCTTCAAACTAATGAAAATAGAGTTTTTTGAATGTTTTTTAAACTATGATAATTAGAATTTAAACAATGGAGAATAATAAAAGAAAGGAAATTAAAGTAACAAACTTCTGACTCAAGGGATGGACAACTCAATAATTTTTTTAATCATAGGCTACTAAAACTACTCTTGAAATTTAAGCATTCAACTTAAAACTTATTAGGATAGCCATAATAAATCTATTAATTTCCTAAATTAACTAACAAAACCTAGCACTCAGCCAGCCCTTATCGTAATCCGGCTATGATTGATAGGTTCCATGCCAAACAATGACAGTGTAAAAACCAAGAAAATAAAGTTGAATCAAAATCTAAGCAATTGAGATAGTTATAATTATTTAGACATTGTCTCATTGATTCCACATCTAAACTAATATGCATATTCAATGTCTCACCAATATAGATACTTTGTCTAAATACTACTCAGTACTGCTGGTTTGTGTCCATTACGTAACATTCAACTACCAGATAGCACTAGAAAGTAAATAATAAATCAAGTTGTCAATTCGAATGTTATCTACTTTCATAAATTAAGATAAGCATCAACAAATATTTAAATTATAGACAAGAATTTTAGATTAAAAACAAAACCTCATAATGAAATAACTAAATAAATCCATTAAATCAGAAAAAAAGGTTAACCTCTCGTAGATGGGAGCATGACAGCTTGATTACATAAAAAGCCAAAGAAAATTCCGAAATCGAAAGGTTAGAGGCGCCAACTTTGGCCTATGTACAGCTGCACCTAAATAAAAAGTAAAAATTCTGTTTTTATTATTGGAACTAGGTCAGCTACGCAGGCTTTTTTCCTTAAATATATATGAAAAAAAAAACCTGGACAAAAACAAAGCTTTTTAAAATCTTGTGGACAAATTTATACGCCCCGGATTTAGGAAATCCGAATGGGGGGTAAACTCGGATTTCGGAAATCCGACCCCAAATCAACTCGGATTTCGGAAATCCGACCCCAAATCAACTCGGATTATTAAAATCCGACTTTGTGTTACGTAAATCCGATATTAAGTTAATGACAAAAATTAGTGTAATTAATCTAAATCCGGATTTTATAAATCCATTTTTATGAATAAAATATTAATTTTCGGATAGAGAAAAAATAATGTGTTGAAAAATTAAATTTGGGCAGAACTCGGATTACCGAAATCCGAATCTCTGTTTTCTGAAAAATGGTGACTCCCAATTGGCCACGGACTCGGATTTCCGAAATCCGAATCCTTTACAAAAAGTCTGGGTTCGGATTTCACAAATCCGAGTCTTTGTCAAAACTAAAAAAAAAAATTGGACTAATTTTCACCAGTCCTAAACATGTTTACAGCACCAACAACAATGAAACATTGGAAAACAGGAATTTAATAACAACAAAATAATAAACGGCATTCGATTAACAACAAAATAAATCAAGTTTCATAAAAAGTTCAATACAAAAACTACTATAAATGTCCAAAATAATGAAATGTCTCATTTTTTCCCTTTTCCTTTATTGTGCGCATCCGGAGTGTATTTGTTTGGGCCCTGTAGGATCCTGTCTCCCCTCTTAAGATACGTGAGTATTGAACTTTGGTGTGGTTGCGACTGTCCATCAAACTGAGCCTCGATTTGGGGTTGAGATTGGGACTCCCCCATGGTGATAAATTGACTCCCGATTGTGGTTGCGACTGCCCACCAAACTGAGTCTCAGGTCCACCAATGTCAAACTGAGTCTCGGGTCCACCAATGTCAAACTGAGTCTCGGGTCCACCAGCTTCTTCAAAATGAGTCTCGACCTGGATGCGCGAGCCTCGAGAGGAATGTGCTTGATCCTCATTTTGTTGACCCTCAGTTTGTTGTTGCGATGTCCGAGGGGGGATTGTGACCTTTCTCTTTCTTCCTCCTCCAATCTTATCTCTTGACCACGGTTTCGCTTTTTTACCCGGCGGAGGTTGTGAGGGCAAATATGGATCTTCATCAACCAGGATTTGGGTATCATCCACCTCCATCTCATCATTTGGGCCCAAGGTTAAAGTAGCATGTGTTTGATTGATGATATCGTCCAAATGCTTGTCAAGTTCTTCGTCTAGGAGATTATCATCTTCTCGTTTTTCTCTAAACCTCTCGCTACTCACGCGAATGTTGTTCAATACTTCACCCTGAAAAGAAATTGGGACGTTAATTAAGAGAGTAAAGTTTTTTAAAAAAAATGAAAAAAAATGAAAATATAAGAAATAATAAAAGAAATCTACAATTAACTCACATATAATTTCACGCGGCTCGAAGAAGTCTCATATCCTTGAGGTTCATAATTACCGGGATTGGATATCAATCTTACTATATACATGGCGTCGGGCGAATAGATTACAATCCCTTTCCTCATTTTCCAACCTTTCATCATCACTTTCTTCAAAATCACTCTCTCCGGAGACATCACAGTCTTCTTCGCTTTCACTTGGAGCTATGTAGTCGGAATCCGACTCTTCCCGGTAGTCATTTTGTGCAAATAAAGGTGTCTCCTCTTCATTACGGTTTCGAGAAGTACTAGCACGTTCCCCTCTTCGAAAATCACCAAATGACACGTTTTCCAAACTCGCTTCTCTTTCTTCTTGAGTGATATCTTCCAAATCTATGTATAAATCTAAACATGACATTGGATCTACACGGTTCATGAACTCTACATGCGAATCATTCTTGATCTTCACTACACGCCTACCACCGGGACTATCGAAAATCAAAGAAAGGTGGAGTTTCACGTGTGCTGGATCCCAACCAAGGGTCATACAAATCTTACTAATCAATCCCTCATATGACAATCTTTCTTCGACAAACAAACCATCATCCGGCATATTCGAAAAAGTGTTGATGCTACCGTTCTCTATCACATACTTACTTGTATGATACAAATTAAGCATGTATGATACATTACGTGCCATTGATAACTGTTAAAAAAACATCAATAACTAATCATTTCTTAATAACAAAATCAACAAAATACACCATACATTCTCTAAAATACACCATACACCATACATACTCCAACAAATACACCATACTAAAATACTTATAAATCAACTTCGATATCTCATGAACAACTATGATTTCTCATCTCTAACCTCAAAATCAACACCTAAAACATCCAAACAACCAACCAACATAAACCCTAATCTATCATACATCATTCTAACAATCAAAATAACACAAAAATAAACTAAATAACATGGTTTTGCAATCTAACCTCTTTCCAATAACGATTTCCACGTATCTAGAGGCAAGAATGCATCAAAAACTTCAATTCGCCCTTATTTGAGCTGCAAAAACAGAAAATCCAACTCAGTTCTCGAATGAGAACTGCCTAAAATTTTTTTCTTTTATAGCACGTTAAACTCGGATTTACGAAATCCGAGTCCGTAAGTAACTCGGATTTTCGAAATCCGAACTACGTTAGATTCGGATTTCATAAATCCGGATTTAGTCAATTCAGGATTATTTTATTAATTTTTTGGTCCTCCAATTTAAGGCACATGCCTACTTCCACCAACCAAAATTAAAGGCATCCGGATTTCTCAAATCTGAATACGTCAAACTGGATTACGGACTTCCGGTGTTTTTTGGATTCAAAAAATTTCGCGCCGCGATTCATTAATTTTTAACTAAACTCGGATGTTACAAATCCGAGCGTTACTGTTCATTTAAGAACTAAAAAAACTATTATTCAACAAAAATTATGAAATTATTATTTTATTATTAAGTATGAATCCGGATTTGCAAAATCCGAATCTCTAATTTTAATCTAAACTCGGATTTCAGAAATCCGAGCAATATAATTCTGTCCACAAATATTCTGAAAAAATTAAATTTGTCCACGTTTATTTTATTTAATTTTTTTTGGAAAAAAGGAGGAAAGATTCCCGGAATTTGCATAATTGGTCCTCCAATTATACAATTTCTTAACTTCTACCTCAAAATATTTTCAATTGTACAATCAAGTCCCTGATGTAAATCAAATGTACATGTTTATATATATGATTTCACATCTCGTTTCCTTGTATTTAGACTCATTTGGATGTTGTTGAGAGCCAATAATACACATTTCTTATGCTTTATTGTTTTATCTTGAGTAGGACGAGCAAATGATGTTGAAACGAAGCAAAACTTATCAAAAGTGCCAAAAAATGCACTTGTGTTGAACAAGGTGATCAATCATTGATGATTCATAACTTGTGCTAGGAGTCTCCGTTTGCAATGATCAAGATGCCGTTGCAAAGCCGAAAGAGAGAGCTATGACTGTCGTCCAGAACACTTGTCCAAATTCAGATTATAAAGGGGCCAAAACTGCATTTGAAATGCTGTCGTCAGAACTGAACCATGACTGTCCAGAAACTTCAGCAACGATCAACCATGTTTCAGAAGCCATAACTTGACATTTACAGCTCGGATTTGGAAGATATTTATATGGTTACGAAGATAGAAGAACAAGCTACAAATTACCTTCAGAAGTCAACTCCAAATTTGGGATGTAAATGGACGAAACAGTGCAATGAAACTTGTCACCTAGTGCTGAAAAGCTGGAATTTCAGCAAACACTTTGAATGGGCAGCAGTAGAACATCTTCAATTCGAACTGAAATCTCCAAAGAAAAAGCCAAACGAATCCTTGGGATTTGTAAATCACATCAAAAGGTGAATTTTGGAGATGATTTCATGGTTTTTGGTTCACCAATCAGAGAGATCCCCTTACCCGACGGAGATGAAGAATCCGGCGAAGAAGATTGAACATCCACGACTTGTTAAGCCCATTCCGGGTTGAAAACTGAGAAATGATCCAAGGGATGTTGACCTCCAAGGATGGGGAAGATGCTGTTCTAAAGTATGCTTATGTTCGTGCTGAATCAATGACTATCCGATCGACAACGACGGCAATACCCCGGTGCCGGCAAGAACTTTAGTCGAGGGAAAGAAGGAAGGAAGTTTCTGAAATTGCTAACTTGATTCCTCCTTCCCCAAGAATTTGCAGCGAAGGTCTGAAGATTTGGAAGTGCCAAAGAAGGTTCAACTGCCACCCAAAAGTTCCAGATATTATCACTTTAACCCCTGTTTGGAGGATTGCTTATTTGGAGAAAGTTCAATTCGATCCAGCTATTTCTCTACTTATTCACTTCAGTCCAACCGGGTCTCATGCCTGTAAATACCCAAATGTACCAAATTTAAAGGGAAAAAAAAGCTCCTCTTCAGTTCATCTTTAGACAACTCTTAGCATAGTTTCTCCTCGTTTGCTTCATTTCTTAGCTAGGGTTTATATTTTGTGATTTAAACTAAGACTTTCTAGTATGTAATTAATCAAGGGGCTTGGGCATTAGTCTAGGGTTTTTGTTCAAGGTCCATGATTAAGGAGATGATACCAACTCTTTTGTTACTATATGGAGTTATTGGATTTGTGGAGAAAATTGGAGCATGAATTTAGTTCTACTTGAAAAAGGGAGCTTTTCTTATCCTTTTTATCTTCACTTGTGATTTATTCATTATAAGTTGTGTTTATCCTTGATTATAGTTGTTTAAAATGCATAGTTTCTAAGTAGATATTTGGTTCATTGTTCTTTCTCCTAATATATGCCATGTAAGCCATGAGATGTGTGTGATTTGAGTTCAATAATTAGCTCTTATTGTGTTATATCATACAAGTTGAATGGATCCTTTGACTTGAATGTTTTAGGGCATTTATGGACGACTCTTTATTTTCATAAATGTAGGACCTTGATTATTGGAACTCTTGTAATTCTACTTTAGGCATAAATAGAATGAAGGGGTGGATAGAAGATGTTAATTGGTTTAATCTATTGGCTAAGGTCACCTAGGCATAAGGGGTTAGTCATACTATTCTAGGGACTAGGCATAGAAACTAGAGAGAAAAACAACATCATCCCTCAACGAAACAACTCTCATTGGCGATTTTGTGTGTATTATTGCTTGAGTCCATTGATGAAATGTGAAATGCATGCTTGTGTAACTCTACGACACGGAAGTGTAAAGAGTGAATCAATTGGCCTAAACCACCACACTTAATCTAATAACTAGATGAGATCGAAAGAAGATTCTAGCATTGAGTTCTCACAACTAGAAATAGAAGTTAGGGGTGTAAAGGCAATGGCTCCGTAGTCTCCAAAATCTTATTGGCATGGTTAGGTTGAATGAACACGACCTTCATAACATCTTAGGAACACATTAATAACCTTGTTTCCCTTCCTATTGTCCTAGCCCTACTTTCCTTTCATTAGTTCTCTTTTCTTGTTTCTTGATTTTCATCCTTGATCTTTTATTGTTTGTTTATTCAATATTTTGTGCTTGTAATATAATATCTTTCTCTCAACCCCTCACAATTTAGCACTAGTTTACGGAATACCCTTCTCGTGGGATCGACCCTTACTTTCACGACACAACGATGGGCTTCCTCTTGGGTCTTAAGTGCGTGCAAACAAGGTTTTTATTATTTGTTTGCGTGTGTGTAGTTATCATATACATCCAAATTGCACAACAACAGTCCCTACTCGTGCAAAGTAGTCAAATAGTTCCAATCTCTCAATTTAAGCTCCTATCATAAAATAATAATAAATCAATAAGTTAAATCCATCCTAGATCATAAACTAATAAAATCACTACATTTAAAATAGAAGTCTTCTAGAATAAGTAACTAGGGTTCTTCTTGCTGCAAATTACCTCTGAAACAATAATGATTCTTGAGCTTCTAAATTGTACTAGAGTAATCTGAACTTGTTTCGATCCGTTAAAATCACGAATTCCACTACCTTTCATCATAAAATCTTCATCTCTCAGTTGATTCTTCTTTTGACATCAAGAAATCATGGTGATCACTGAAGAAAAGCGAGTTCAACAAAATTAGAGACTTCTCAACAAAGCCATGGAGGAGCAGTTTTCATCTTTACGTTTAGATAATCAGGGAATTAAGTTAGTATAAGCACCTCTCACTAATTACAATTTCTTGATTTCGAAACGAACTCTGGCAACAGCTCTTGAAGCCACATCCAAATTTGGATTTGTGTTAGTAGTTATCCTATGCCAGCTATTGATTCCATGTATTACAGAAAGTAGAGAAAGACAAATAGCATGATTTTTTTGTTGATTCTTGGTTCAATCTCTGAAGAATTGGTGAATCAATTCATGTACATCGAAATGCATGTGATCTGTGGGATGAAATAATTGAAAGGTTTGGATCTTTTAGTCTTTCGTTGTTGTTTCAAATTAAGAGAGATATTGTTGTTATTAAGCAAGAAAACATGCCTATTAGTCATTACTATGGAAGCTTAAACAGTTAAGAGAGCAATTTACATAACTAAGATATGGATTTGACTGTAAAAGAACTATACAGAATTTGCTTGACAGTTCTAATTCTACTGAGTATGTTTTAGGAGTTAAAGATGGTTTACGGGTGATTACAAAGTTAATTGATCAAAGAGAAACATAGCATAAGTCAATGGAATATGTAATGGGACTTAGTGAGGCGTTTAAAGCTGAAAAGAACCAGATCCTTATGATGGATCCATTGCCAAGAGTAACTGTGGTATATCCCTTAACTCAGAAAGCTAAAAGAAATAGGCAGGTGAGTGTAAATTTGGCCACAAGATCAGAGAACAGTGCAATGGTTGCGAAAAGCAAGTGCGTGGAAGGGAGCTAGTTCAAGTAAACAAAAAGCAAAGGATAGAATCAGTGGTTCTGTACTCACTGCAACAGGACTAGACACCTCAAAGAAGGATGTTGCAAAGTGATTGGCTACCCTAAAAAGGAACCTTGTTCTTACTGTCACAGAGCAGGTCATTGATGGGTGTCGAGACCACAAAAGAAAACCTAATTAAAACTGCAGACAGTGATAAGCAGGGTCTATCCCACAGGGACGGGTGAAATTCTAATAAACCCCAAATAATTCAAGTCACAAAGAAACAAAAAAAAAAAAAAAAAGATAGATGACTTGAGAAAGTGAGAAAGTGACTTAGCAAAGTGTTCTGGGGATCTTAAACTATCCTCTCTCTAATTGGTTGCTACTTTTGTGGTATGAAACTGTGTTTAATGAGGCACAACAACACTGTAAGGTCACTTTCGATTATTCCAGACAGCAGTCCTAATAGTAACGAGTAAACTAACTTCCGTTGTCGACTCTAAATTACTACTAAGCCATTAAGATCTTCGGTCCTTATGATTGCCTCGTGCCAAACAACTGACTTCCATTGTTGTTTGAAACCTTAGGCTGTTACCC